TTGCTGAAGCCGCACAAGTAATCGGACATTGTTAGGAGGACGTAGAATCAACAATTCCAACGCGAAAAAGAGCACGGGGACTCCCACCGACGCCGACAACAACGCAATTCAATGGTTTGTTTATGGGCGACGGCGGGCTTCTTGCCCACCATCCACCGCGCATGCGCGGCGCCGGTGGCGTCCGCTAGGGGCGCTCCGGTTTGTTTGTAAACATGAGTTGGTGTATAGTTTTACTGGCTAGTTTTGTCAATCTCATTTATTTATTAATCCCATAAGCATTCTTTTATTTATTCTAGTCAGTCATGCATGTTTACTAAGGGCTTCAAGCAGCATATGTATGAGTAGGGGTGATATTTTGAAATTTTCATTATTGAACTTTTGTACTTTTATCAGATAGAGTAGATTTGTACTTTGTGAATTCATCTGTTTGCTAAACTGGGGCTTAGAACATTTTTATTTCCTATTAATAAAAAGTGTAGTCAGTAAGGATTGGGCCTTATTTCAAACCATACTAATATATTTTGTTATTACTTCATTTTAGTAGTCTTATGGAACTTGCGATTTGGGCTGTTAAATAGACACAATGCTTTGTTCTTGAGGCTTAAAAAATTGCTGACACCCCGAATGTCTTTTTCTTTTTGTCTGAAACGATGCAAGTTGTAGTCATAGACACTAAAAAAAAATACCACAACGCGGAGCAAACTTTTCTTACGTGCGCGCATGCCTTTTTATTTTTGTTGCCCTTCTCTCCCTCTCCACCTCCTCTTCTGTTTATTTATGAGGTCAATAATTATTAAATTTAGAAGCTTTGTGAGCAACATTTCTATAATATTTAAAAACGGCATTCGTAAAACATGTTTTTAACGCACTTGCAACGCACTACGGCCCTTCTTTTTGAAATACCGAAAACCGGAGTCCGGAGTGATATAGCTTCCTGGCTTTTTACGCTTTCTCGGAAAACATGGCGGCGCTCGAGACGTGTAGCACTGAGGACAATCGGTGAGTCGGGGAACCGGATGTTCTCTTGTTTAGGTGCACAACGACCTCTTAGACTTCGAAAAGGAAATCGTCAAACGGTCAAAACAACTGGGTTTGGCGTCTGTGTGCCGTAGTGCCAATTGTGACTCTGCCGGGCAGCCTTTCACACAGAACCAGCGCCGACGTGGTACCTCACACCGCTCACAAAAGTCTACTGCGCATTCTTTCCCACCTCACGCTGTTTCAAAGAATATGAGATCACTGAAAGAGCCCTAAAAGAACTTCAAATTTGAAGGTAAAGAGTCATCTGCTCACAGCGATAGATGGCACGCTAGCGGTTGTTCGCGGGACGCTGGCAAACAGGACACTTCGGGTTGGTTCGGAGGCGTGAGAGAAACTCGAGTCTCAGGACAAGTCAATATTTGACATCACTGCATTGGCATGGATCGCACGGGACTTCAGATTTGGTTTGGGAAATGGTTTTTTTAATTCACAAATACTGAGTTTCGAAGTTTCGAATTTTGAGGGTAATGTCCAGGCATCGTTTTCAATCATTTTGGAGGATAAAAAAAATATTTTGACCTCTTGGTGCCCTTTTAAGTTGTGCTTTTGTTGGCTATGCCTTCCATTGGAAAGCCATAAGGTTAACCAACCTGTTGCCAGACCAGTTTTCAGTAGCTGCCATTCACATAAACTGCACCATAAAGTTATTATAATGTACGCTAGAGGCTCAACTGGCGCTAGTGTGCTGTTGCAAATTGAAGCAGACAGCAAGCAGTCCGAAATTGACTTCCGGTAATGCATTTCTACGGAAAAACGCGAGTGCATTTCCTCTCTGTGCTTGATTATAAGAGCAAATATTGCGAACAATTCGTACCTACTAGGCACATTAGAACATTTCCCAGTCACGCAGATGGAATAATTGGTCAGTTGCGGCGTTTTTATTTTAAAATCGTGGCATGAAAAACGGTGCTAAAACTGTTTGGTACATGTATTTATGTGCACCGTCGGACACTGTTAGCGCGAACACGGCGTCATCGCTTTCCAGCCTGGGGGATTACGTGCCAAACGAACGAAGGACATGTGGAAAACCAAGAGAGACGGCAAGAACTACGCAGTAACACTGGATAAGTAACTCCTTGTGCTTGCAGACGATCAAAATAAATTGAAAGTCGCGTAATATAGTCCGATTTGCAATAAATAAGTACTGCTTTATTTTTTCTGCTCATGAATATGTGCGAAGATGCTTGTTCTGTGCTCAAATCATCACCCACGCGCTCCAAATCTTTGCAAATAGGGGGAAGCCAGAGAACAGGTGCGCGATAAAAACTGCCTGACATAGGAAATAATTAAAAAAAACACGTTTCGTAGCCCACATACTTTATTTATTACGTTTCAAATGTTTTTTTAGCCACTCGTAAAGATGCACGACGGGGTCATTTTCTTATAGTAAGAGGACAGGCATATTAGCAATATATAAGCACCACTGGCGGACTTTTAACACACTCTACATTCCTTTTGATCGTTATTTTGCTTAGAATCGTCGGTCATTTCTACATACCTGCCATGGAACAGAGGTTTGGGCCTGAAATATAGCGAATTTTAACGTCGTTCAGTGGTAAAAGAAAAATGCTGTAACTAAAGCAATTACACTTTCACAATAGTAATAAAGGTGCATACTATCTGGTACAACCGAAATAACAAGCGTTATTCATGTTGTTTTCCGGCGACGAGAGAAAATTCACGCGCGTTTTCCCATAGAAATACACAGGAAGACTGGAAAAGTAGACTGCATGCTGTCTGCTTCGATTTGCAACCGGAAGTCCCGTAGACACTAGCGCCAGCGGAGCCTTTAGCGTTTATTGTAATAACTCTATGAACTGCACTTCCGCTCTTTTCTTTCGATGCCATAGGCTGGATTTTTTTTATTTGAACGCTGATTTTTCGGACATGTTTGATTATTTTGACATTTTTACTGTACCGTCACTTGCCCCGCGGAGTTAATGTAAAAAATTGGCTGATATTTCGGACGTCATAAAGCTTATTGCTCTTATGTTTCACACATAATTTGCGTGATTTCCTCAGTTTACAGCTACAAAACAGCCGCTGTGATAGCGCCGCAAGCTTAGTTGCCGTCATTTTGGTTGTTCTGATTTTGTCCTGTAGCTTCGATACCATGTGTTACGCAATAAACAAGCTGGGTTGAAGCGATAGTCGGGTTTTCCGGTTCATCTATAGCCAACATGGTCGCCGTCTGCCAATTCTTATGGTTCTACCAGTTTTCCTCGTGGTCCGTGCTTTTCAAGTGCGACCGCGAGCAGAGCGGCCGTCTGCTGTTCTTGTGGTCTTTGAGCGCAAAGGTTTTTCGCCGATAGGCTTATTATTTAAGTGAGCTTGGTGGACTAAACATTGTCTCCAAATGGTGCCAACTTCGCCAAATGGCGCCAACAAAGTGCAGCACTTGTTTTTTGATAAAACAGATCAACAAACAAGTGAAAAGTGAACAATATAAAGCGGAAGTTGCACGAGAACTTAAAATTGACATCAAGCAAGTTGAAAGTGGCCAATACTCAGCGGAATATGCGTGGAAATTTGATATTTTAGCTGAAATAGATTTTTCAGACCGTTTGATTTTTTGGACAATTTTGGGGTCCCCTCCGAGTCCGAAAATCGGTCGGTGACTGTAAATTGTATGTTCTGACATTGTTATGCAACGCCACATGAAGATGTTTTTTCTTTGTTCTATTTTTATATTCATACAATATACATGTCTGCACTAATGTAGCGATGCAGGCGAGTTGGTTATGCATGTTGAAAAGTAGTGAAAGCGCACTCGTCTTTATTCACATAATAAGCATATTCGTCTTTATTGTGCACTTTCACTACTTTTCAACATACATGTCTGCACTTGTAGCCCCATGTTTGATCTGGATGACCAGCTCGAAGATTTACTTACTGCTACAAAACTAAATTTTTGCGTCTTCTGAGCTGCTCCAAAGCATAAATGCATAAATTCTGCTCCTCCAAAGCTGCTCTGAAGTGACACCTTTGCTGCTCCCAGACCAGCTACAAAACGCTGACGCCCGCTTCCACCCCTGTGTGTAGTCACTTGGACCAGGAAGGGCCATACGTTTGTTCCCGTGCAGCATTTGACTCTTAGAGTGTCCATATACACTGTGCGACACTATTAGCGTGAACACGACATCAGTGCTTTTCTGCATTTCATGCAGGCAGGGTATTGACAGGCACCAATCTTTACCACTTGGGCTACTGCCCTGAAAGGTACACTGACAGGGTATTTATGCTCAACAAGGTTTTTATTTATACATGACATATCTGAGCTAAACTACCCAGAATGCAATTTGCGACTCGAAATTTGTTTTCTTTCTGCCCTAAAACTGCCAATCGAGAACTGGCAGGTTTAAGTCTCGCTCACTCTCTTCTCCGTGGTTATGTGCCCTTTTCTATGGTTTAAACACAACCACCAAAGATTATCAGAGTCATGAGTCATGGAAGGCACACACTCAATACTAGAAATGGACAAAAAATATGATACCCATTTTTTGGAGCTTCTTAAAAGCTGCAAATACGTTGATTGAAAAAAAAGTTGTACAGCCGCGTGACTTTTTTGTATCTTTCTCCTCCTCTCTATTTCTTCTTCCTCCTCAGTCCAGTTTCGGTTTCGAGCAGTTGCGTTTTTTTTACTTTATTTAAAATATATGTGACACTGTAGTTGATTGGGTAGTCTTCTGGCATCATAAGGATCGCCTAACAGAAAAATGAAATATTTTGGGGTGTTAATGTTTTTTAATGAGGTCTCTCCGTCACACTTGTAGTTATTACGGCAACCGTCTAATTTTAAGGCAAAAACAGAAAAAAAACTTGACCGCTTGTTCGTGCTAACGATGTCACGTTGTGTACCGCTTTCCTGATGTTCGCCAGGGAAGTTTTCTTGCCTATGCACCCTCCCTACGTGTGTTGCTTTGTGGGGCAGTGAACAGCAGGCAACCATTTGTTTTCAGCTGGCCAAGCCAACCACGGTGAACCTGATCTACGACGCTCGCAGCGGGATGTTGCTGTCTGCTGGTCAAGCGCCGCTGGTGCTCAGCACAAACAGTATGTTGCTTTCACTTCTTGAACAGGCCAGAGATTCCTATACTCCGTTTCATATTACATCTGGCCACAACGGATGCTACGAGCCGTCGGGGCCAATCCAAAGCCGTGCGAGTTTCCTGCGACCTTCGAGAGGGAGCACCGTGGGGCACGGAAAGCGTAGTCACGTGCTGTTTTTAAAGAGCTGGATTGGCTGGGATGGCTTGTGGCATCCTCTCCGGCCGGACATAAGATGAAACAAAGTGGGGTCTTGCTTGCGCTTGTTTTGAAGCCAGTTCCTGCTCTGTTTACTTGAACCTTCCAGGTTGTGTTCTAAGCAAGCTCAATGTAGCAATGTACTTTAGGATACATTCCATGGCAGACATTTGTTAATCCCCGAATTATGATTTGTCCTCGTCGGTGTTGTTCGAGTCATCGTAACTGCTACGTTGCCAAAGCATGTCGTCGTCCAACAAAATCTCCTGCACTTGCTCGGTGATCGCTCCGCACATCACGGACCGGGATCGATCTCGCATTTCTGCGCCATGTGTGCAAGCTTGATCTCTGGAAAACACCCAGAAGTCGGCGCGTGGAAATTTTTTTTTTGCCTTCACAGTTAAAGATCTTGTACCGTTGCAGAAGCCACTGGCACATCACCCGCTCCGACATGTCAAAGTTGCATCCAGCAGTGCAGTTGTTAGTTGCTTCCTCATGAAGAATGGCTGTAAACGAGCGCCGAAACCCCACGCATGTCAATAGAGAGAAATGTGGCCTGGCACCCTCCAGCACGGTCGCGCAGTGTCCTTCAAACACGAATCGTTCAAACGAAGAACATGCGACCGTACGAACGGAAGCTGTTTTGACGTAACTTTTGCAACAACTGTCGCACCCCCCAAAGTCTCGGCGCAGCCGTTTGATTTGTGCGCCGATCACTGCAGTGTATTCTGCACATTCCGTGCCGATATGCGAACTGTAATACCTGTTTGCACAAGTAAAAAAATAAAAGGTGTTCCGTATTTTCCGGACTATAAGTTGCACATCTGTTATATTAAGCCGTTTTTGTGGACAAGTTGGTATATAAGTTGCGCCTTTAAGTCACACTTCTTTGCATGGTACACGCGATGAGATTTTTTAGTTTTACGGGCATCGGTATTGGAAAATCTGAGTTTTGCACAGTCAGCTATATCGTACGTACTGCCTGACGCGCAACTTTGACGTCTAGACCCACGAAAAAGGCCCATAGCGCGGCGTCTGGCAGGGGCAATGAGTGTTTCGCAGCAAAAGGATGTAAAACGCGCAAAATGAGAAGGTAGTCGGCTTTATTCAAGCAAACACATGCCGAGCAAACGAAAGTTCAATGAGCCAGACACTCGTGAACTAAGCTTTGGACCACTAGGCCTTTCCGCGGCTAAGTCGTGGAGACGACCTGAGCATCAACGTGCCGGCAGGTAGATGAATCTTGAAACACTTCTTTTGGTGCTGCAAAAAGATCAGCTCGCCACAATCCTTCTTGTGTGGCAACACGGCTGGAGCATGGCAGAAAGAAAACTGCTGCTCGTACGGGAACTAAAAAAGATGTGAGAAAAATTCCTGCAATGCGTGTATACCAGCCCACTTACCTTTCAGTATTACTGGACTCTAGCAAAAGACTACGGAACCATGGCTGAATGAAGCAACATCGATCACATGCTGTAAAAGTTTTATTCTCACTGTCTTGCCTATCCAGATTAAGCCGGTTTGGGGTAACCATACAATTTCTCACTTTCCGAGTCAGTTATGACAACTGGAAGGGGCAACACCACCAATGGATACATAGTTACGGTGCTCAATGAAAGATGGCACGCGGCACAGAAAAAAATGGTGCATACCGTGAATTAAAAAATAAATAAAAAAAGAAAAAAAAAATGCATACAAGTTGCATTCTTGTATAAGACTCACCAAGAAAAATGTCTGAAAAAAACCGCAACTTATACACCGGAAAATACAATACTTGTAAAACGAGCGCACAGAAGGACGTAATGCTGCAGGTATAGCCGGCTGAGCCAGTGGCGCTTGTAATGAACTGAGGTGTTTTTCCGTTATCACTGCAGTTTCTGCTTGGTCAATAGTGGGATGCTTTCAATTTTAAAAAAATTGAAAAATGGGTCTACCTACAATCGTGTAAACACGGTAGTTACCTTGGGTCTGTTCAACTTGGCACTTCGTTCTGGCTTTCAGCCTACAATTTTTCAATCTTTTTCGGTTCTGGGACGGGGTTATCTTGCGGGCTCAAACTTCTTAAATCCCACGAGTGTTTTTTTTGTTTTTTTTTCTTTAGTTTATTCATTATTTAAGCATAGCATTGGTATACGACCAAGCCAGACATTTGCACCTTACTCTGTAGCACACATTTTTTTCTTATCAAGGTTTGCAGTCTTTTAAACCGTTTCGTCGCGAGATTGCGAGCGCCCAGCTACCTCGGCCTTCGCTCGAGGAAGCTAGCTACTCTTGGAAATTAAAGTGTGTGAGAACTAGTGATGGACTAAAGTCCAATTCCACACATAAGTTCGGCACATGACAAACTTTTGAAGGAAAGTTAGGCAAAGATTCTGCAAAAGTTTGGCAGACGTCTGCACGCATGTGAGATTGCAACGGATCCATGGATTGTAAATGGATGCCGTGCGGTCACTATCGTACAGCGTAGTATTGTAGTACTACGAGCGGTTATGGCGAGGTGCGGAGTGGGTGATATGGTAACTGTGTGTTTGTCAGCCTTTGTGAGTGTGGTTCTCTTCAGTATGTTCTGCCTAGAAAACAGAAAATCAACCAGGAATTGACACAGTCCACTGCGCAAGTGACAAATTATGCTGTACATTCTGGATAGCATGTTTTACGTTTGATATTTCTAGTTACGCAACGAGGTAGTTGCAACATTGACTGACAAGTACTTTGAAGCACTCCTCGCAATTAGAGCAATCCTGTTTTCGGCTCACAAGTAGTTTGTGCCAAAACAAAACAATATTGCTTTGAAATGAGCGTTATTTCGTGGTTTTCATCTATCCTCATAAAACTAGACGCAGAACTATCATGCTTGCCGTTGCACGTCTGACATTCCAAACTGTTCCCATCTTCCTAAACATCCGCATGTGTCCCAACATCAAAAACCAGAAATTTAAAAATTAAAAACGAGACGTTGCAAATATGGGACACACGCTTTCTTGCAAAGATGGCGTCAAGTGACTCAATTGGAAAGCATGCATATTTACGATAATATTGTTTTCTCTTCTGAAGTCTCAGCAGCTTGTGAAACGGTGACTCACAGAGAAAGTAAGAACTGTGTTACCGCCTTTATTTTAACAATGTACACACTTGCAGGCTTGGGCTGATGAGGCCTTAAAACCAAAGCTCGCGTATCGTCGAACCTCGTTGTCACGCCACTTCTGCAAAAAGTCACTGTAAAATTGCCTGTAAGCACAGAAAAATGACACCGATACATTTATATTGTAGAATATCAATTTATTTAATAACTGTGTCAACAAGCATTAAAAAAAAAATCCTGAAATCTTTTTTTGGCCAAAAAAAAAACAAACTATATATCATCTTTTAAGTCTGCCAACAATGTATCTTTGCCGAATCTTTAGAAACTTTCGGCAAAACTTGAGCTTTGCAGAATTCCAAGATTCGGTGCCGAATTTTCGATTGGGCAAAAAATTGGCCCATCACTAGTGAGAACCTTAGCACAGGGGAGGGTCACTTCGTTGCTGAGCGGTAATCTTCTGTCTCCCATCGCCTCAGCAACCAAGGCGGCCGGCCCAACCATAACAACGGTGACCCCGGCAGGAGCGTCAGGACCCTGCGTGCCGGCCGGGCAGCCAGTGGCGGTCAAGCAGGTGGGTGGTCCCAAGTTGGCTCCAGGGGAAGGGACAGGGCGACCCGCTTGACGCTGCCGAACACCGTGGACAAATGATAGCAGGGGGCAGTCGTGGAAATTTCTTTAAGGGCCCTAAAATGCCCATCTTTTTTCGAATTTTGCAGTTTTGGCATTTCTAACCGAATGTTGCAGTTCCTTAATGAGCAATATAGCGAAATTCGGTAAACTACCGTGCCGTAATTACCGAGAAAATGAACATTTTCAATGGCTCCTCGGTGCGCTGAGGTGCGGCACGCTTTCAAAAGACGCGAGGAAAGCACCATGTTTTTCGATTTCACTACGGTGCAGCTCTGCGCCCGCGAGGCCTGGCATGGCATTCATACGCTTGCTGGGAAGGTTGTTTATTTTTTTTGGGGGGAAGCTCCTTAGGGGCTAGCCATGTCCGTATGTCCGTCCGCCGTCGGGTGCACGTGCTCCTGCTCGTGAGCTCACACGCTCACATGCTCATGAGCATGTGAGCACGTGCTCCCGTACTCGTGTAGGGCAAAAAGAAAAGACAACTGCACCTCCCCATGGTGAATGATGTTGATTGGGGCGAAGCTCTGGTGGTGCTTGTCTGCGTAGACGGTGAGCCGCAGCATGCCGAGCCTTTCGTTCGTTTTCATCCATGTCAGAAAGAGAATGTGTGGTATGGAACGTGGTTAAATACGCATTTGAGCATTTGACCGCAGCGTGACATGGATGAAAACGAACGAAAGGCTGAGCATGCTGCGGCTCAGCGTCTACGCAGACAAGCACCAACAGAGCTTTGCCCCAATCAACATCATTCACCACGTGTAGATGCGGTTTTTTTTTATTTTTATTTTAGAGCGCAGCTCTTAGGGGCCCGTTTCCGGCTTGAGCGGCGTCGGCGTCGCCGTCGGCGTAACCGCGCGGTGCATCATGGGAAATGTCCCATAATGCACCGCGCGAGCCCCCACCGGGGTCACGTGACCTCGTGGGGGGCACGTGACCCCCGAGGTCACGTGACCCCGGTGGGGGGCTCGCGCGGTGCATTATGGGACATTTCCCATGATGCACCGGGGTGCATTATGGAACATTTCCCATGATGCACCGGGGTCACGTGACCTCGGGGGGGGGGGGGGGGGGGGGGGGGGCACGTGACCCCCCGAAGTCACGTGACTCCCCTGAGGTCACGTGACCTCCTCCTTGAGGTCACGTGACCCCCGAGGTCACCTGACCCCCGCCGATGTCGCGTGACCCCCCGATGACGTCATCGTCACTGATGACGTCACCGGCATCCACATCGTCATCGTCATCATCACTGATGACGTCACCGGCATCCACATCGTCATCGTCATCATCACTGATGACGTCACCGGCATCCGCATCGTCATCATCACTGATGACGTTACCGACATCTGCATCGTCATCGTCATCATCACTGATGACGTCATCAGTGACGTCACTGATGTCGTCACCGGCATCCACATCGTCATCGTCATCATCACTGATGACGTCACCGGCATCCGCATCGTCATCGTCATCATCACTGATGACGTCACCGGCATTCGCATCGTCATCGTCATCATCACTGATGACGTCACCGGCATCCGCATCGTCATCGTCATCATCACTGATGACGTCATCAGCGACATCACCTATGACGTCATCGGTACCCGCATCGTCATCTTCACTGATGACGTCATCAGTGACGTCAGTGATGACATCATCGGCATTGGGGATCACGTGACCCCCAAGGTCACGTGACCCCCCAAGGTCACGTGACCCCCCTGGTTAGTTTAACCCCCCCCCCCCTCCCAGCGCCCTTCCCTCCTCCTCCTCAAGAGCTGCGCTCTAATTCGGCGTTACAGGGAGTTGTAAGCGGCTTTCACTTTTTTCTTTTACTTTTTATTCAAACAGTAAATACGGGTTAAAGGGATGCTGAACCGAAATCTGAATTCCACAAAACACTGCGGCAAAAGCGGGTAAGGGGATGCTACAAACACCAAAACATTACTCATACTTCGATATCTCAAACGGATGACCGTATTTTTCTAAAAAAAAGGAGGAGCATTTGACAGATATGTCGACGTCTTGTTTCTCCGAGAAGAGTCGAGAAGGAGAGGAAACAGCCTCGCGTCTTTTCCGCCTCGCCACCTTGAGGGGGCGAAGCGAAAATGGGAGGAAACGAGATATCTTGACATCACGTGCCTTGTCGGCCTTGTTTAATCTCGACCTCTTTTTCCAAAAATACAGCCGTCCATTCGAGATATCGCCGTACGAGTAGTGTTGTAGGGATTGTAGCGTCCCGCCTACAACTCCTGCATTGTTTCCTCAAATCCGAATTTCGGTTCACCATCCCTTTAAGGGGAGGCACTCCCTTGGAGGGTCTACTTTTTAAGCATTTGTGCCAGGTCAATGAAATTTTTAGGGTACTTTAAACGTCAAAACTTAGGAGGCTAGACCAACTTTCAACCTAAAAGGTTTATTTTTTAAAATGTACATATAGCAGTACCAAAGGAAAAAAACTATCGTTTCAAAATATGAATAAAAAGGCACAATTTCCTTATTGGGATATAACGCTAAATGACTAAACTAATCGGTAGTAGGCTTGAAATAATTTTTAAGGCCATATTTCACGTAAAAATTAACTTTCAATAGTGGTATGAATTTTTAGGTTTTTTCTTGTTTCACAAACGTCAACGTTTTTGTGTGAAGAAATAACAATTTGCAAAAGGTAAGCGCATAGCCGAGTTCTCCAGTAAATTTCATGCCAAAAAAGCCATACATTAGACTTGGGGGCGCTTAACTCATCGAACGATAGTTTTAGAGCTGTGAAAAAATGGTGAAAACATGAAGCTGAGAAAAAAGGGTTTGAAAGTTCGAACAGTGTTTTAGTTTAGATGGGGCTTGCCATTTCATCTAAAATGCTCCAGGGGCATATGTCACTCCTTCCTCTAAACGGTCCCTCTGTGCCTTGGCCACAGCTTCCATCTTCCTTTTTTTGTGGGACATCTTGGAGGACTCGAGCGCTTTCACTTGGGCCTTCGCAACCTTCATCTTGGTGGCCCTCTCTCCATATGACGCTTGGTAGCTCCCTGGCTGTATGCCCATTTCCAACAGAGCTTCCTGATTCGCTAGGACGAGCCACGTCACGTGGCTCGTCCTAGCGAATCAGAGCTCTTGTTTCGCCAGCTTGACCAATAAGAGCGTGCACAGCTATGTTTTCTACGGGGTTTTACGGTCTGTGAGCACAATATCACGAAAAATGCTGCGAACAGAACGAAAGAGGGCGAGACGCTCATTCCGACGAGGGGGGCCTGTCCATGCTAATCCTAAGAAACGCGGAGGGAGCGTGCCTTGAAAATGGCACATTTTCGTTATCGGCCGCGTCGTCGGCGCGCACGTGCGGCCGCCAGCACTTCGAAAATAATTTATTTCGGAGTAAATACTTTACTTACAGGAATAAAATTTTTGGACAGCATTCTTTATGAGTTGTAAAAGCTGGTCAACCTATTTTCCAAAAATGTGACTTTTTTGAAAAAATTGCGATTCCTAGGCCGTGCCTCCCCTTAAAGGGGACTTGCAGAAATATTCCTCTGCCCAACGTTACCCCTCCCTGCCCTCCTTTTTTCCCAGGCTGCTGTCTTTTTGCAAAGGGTCAAAAAGCCTGCTGGTCATTTTGGGCTTTTCTAGGCTTATCCTCTCAAAGAAGCCGGTACAGAAATGGACCTTCCCCCGCCCTTGCCATCCAGCTAGACAAGAGGAAAAGGGCAAAAACGAGGGCGAGGACTTTCGGCCAGGCGGAAGAATATTTCTGCAGGTGCCCGTTTAAGGTTATGGAATACCCAATGAAAATAGGGCACAACCACCATTCTTTTTTTTTTTTTTTTTGTAAATGTTTTGGATAAACATAGACAGAGTGACAAGGACAATTATTGAGGCTTTTTAAGGCAAAAGCATTAAGGCCCGTTCACACTCTTGCGACCTCTTAAACCTGGGTTCCTTAAAACTTCTTAAACCAGAGAACACACTGGTGCCATCTATTGGGAAGCAGTGTAAACTCGGCGGTCCGGCATATTTTGTATTTATTTATCGCGCATTATCCTTATTTTTTTGGCTCGAAATACTTTTGTCAATGTTATAAACGAGCCTTTCTATGGTTATTACGCACATTTGACCTCGGAAATCCCACAAAACCGTCGCTTTTGTGAAATGCAGTTCTAGGGTCACCGCATAGATGGCGCCACAATGTCAGTGTGTTCCCTCATTCTAGAAACATTTAAGAAGTTGTAAGAGATCTCGTCTCTCTCAGTCGTACTCGGTCGCAAGAGTGTGAACGGGTCTTTAAAGGGACACTGACACCTACCAGAATTTTTTTTTTTTCATTTTTTGCCAGGCGCTTTATTATGGTGTCGGAGGATTACTTAATTAATATTTTGCAACAGAGTAGCATATTTTCTTAATAAAGCCAAAGACGCAACTGCTCGAAACTGAAACCCGACGGAGGTCGGAGAAGTGGAGAGAAGAGAGTGAGTGGCGGAAGTCACATAGCTACACCCGACCGTGCAAGTTTTTTTTATTTTTCTCTTTCTTCTTTCCGTAGCAGACGACATGCGGCCTACGGGAACTCTTCGCCGTGCGATTGGTTTGCAGTTATGTTTGTTCCGCTCGTTGTTCTGTACTCCAAGATGAGTTGTTTTGTACATTGAGGAGTTTGAGATGAGTAGTGAGTGCCCGTGGTGAATTTCCATCATTGGCTCCGAAAAGAATACACCCAAGGTGTTGCGTGAAGAGCTGGCTCACATGTCCTGCGTCCGAAAAAAAGTGGCATTGTGCGCCAGAGTTTCCGAAAGATCAACGGGATCGAGACCAGCGGCTGGCTGCAATTCCTGTAGAACATTTACGGGCACCTCGGAAAGCGGACGCTACCCGATTTATATGCTCCTTGCATTTTGTGGAAAGTGATTACATTGAGTTCGCAGGTGTCAAAAAGGAAATCCCATGCCATTTATTTCAGTGACGTGTCGTCCACAACATTTGTTTGTTAATTGTAAAAAAAAAAATGTAGACGTCAAAAAAAGTTCGAAAAAAAAAAAAAAAAAGGTTTGAGGGGGGATTGAACTTGGTCCTACCGCGTGTGAAGCGGACGTCTCTCCCACTGAGCTACTGGGGAATCTCTTCACTGGTGGATCTCTTTCCGTAGTAATATTTCAGCCGGTAAACTGTAAGTTGGAAAGTTTGCTGCCGATTTTCTTCCAGCAAAAGCGCCCCCGGGTCGAAATCGGGAAGCACCACGCTTTGGGGACATTCGCACCTAGTAAAGAAATCGTACGCGTGCATATTCAACTCGAAGTAGACACGTCGTGCTTGACGTTTGCGCGAGCGATGTCTTCAGCCACGAGATGGGAGCGACGGCTCGGCGACGTCTTCGTGCAAATTGGCTTGGTGGTCGGGCGTGTCGTATGGGATGAATACCAATTCTTTTGATCAGTCCCAAATTTTTTTTAAAAGGCAGATAGAATTCGCCGGTACCGCGAACGACAGTTCTGAAATAGAGGTCCCACGCCCGTCGTCCGCTCCCATCGCCGTCCCCGCGAGTCCCACGATACGCGAAACGACTCCAGACGACGCACGCTCAGAATGCTTCCGGTTGTCTGTGGAACTTTTTCTTCAATCAACATATTTGCAGCTTTTTAGAAGCCACAAAAAATGGGTTTCATATTTTTTTCTATTTTTAATATTGAGTGTGTGCCTTCAGTGACTAACAACTTTGATTAAATTTGGTGGTCGCATCGATACCTTAGAAAACGGCCCGTGACCACGGAAAAGAGAGTGAGCGAGACTCGAACCGGCCAGTTCTTGATCGGCAGTTTTCGGGAGGAAAGAAACCGAATTTCAACTCGCAAATTGTGTTCTGGGTAGTTGGGCTCTCATATGTCATGTACCACTAAAAACCTCGGCGAGCATAAATACCCTGTCAGTGTCCCTTTAACTGTCTCATGGAGCGAGCCGCCATCATCAGCTTTGAAACCACACCAAACGGCATCTTAAATCCTTTCTCCAAGTGAAGCCAGCTCCCAGCTATGAAACCCCACGCAAAACTAGCCAGCAGCACCAAAATTCCCCGATCCCAAAGCAGCGGAATAAAGCTGATGGATTTTTGGCTTCAGTCTCATTGGCTGGTGCGCCTCGACGAGGCTTCCATTAGCCGGACAAGCCGCGCCATGAGGAGGCCGATCGTAGAAACTGACGCTGCGCATCAATTTCAACGACTGGCCACCTCATGGTGCTGCGTGTCCGTTAGCGCGCCAACACAAAACGTCCAAGGTGAGAGCGGTGAGGAGAGGTGCTCTCTCCTCGCCGGTAGAGCGGAGTGGAAGAATTATGTAGATGCTTTCGCATTCACAACTCGTAAGAAGTGCTCAGGTGTACCTCGAGCCTCTCTAACTCTGAAGTTGGCGGGAGATGCGTCAGCAAACCGTCTGTGGCCTTATCTGAAAAAGAATTTGGGTGCCTTTGATCAACTATGAAGGGCATTACATAGTCAGTGATATGGTCTATCTTAACATAATATGCTGCTTGGTTGGTGCGTGTGTGGTGCCTATTTTTCTGGTTAAGATGCTTCTTGTTTTCTTGCTTCCATTTTATGTAATAAACAACAGCTGTTAGTTCAGTGCCATCCTGTCGTGTGTGTTTCTTTATCCCAAGATGTTCACTTCAAACCAACTAGCCAAACACGTCACACTGTTGCTCTACAGAGTGGGATCAGATGCTCAATCTGCCCACTTTTTTTAGCATTTTTTTTACACAGCCCAGAATAGGGCTCTAAACCAATTATGCTGCGCTTCATGAGCATGAATTATGGAACCGGTCTGGCCCACGCGATAATCACACCTCCACTCCTAGACCACCACACTGCGTGTGCAGTTGCATGGCAAATGCACTTTCAAAAGCCAAGTTCTCGCGTTGGTAATGTTAGCCAGCGCTTGAGAGACGACTGGTGCGACTGGCGAGCTGCTAAAGGGACCCACCAGAGCGTTGGTTTGGCCCCTCGTAGCCTGAAGCGTGGCCTGACAGTGCTCTCCCTCCGACAGGTGCAGGGACCCCCCCAGGGCACGGTGGCGGCGCGTCCGATCCCGCTGATCACGGGGGGCACGGCGCCAGTGACGGCCAACTCTCTGCTCATGGTGAAGGTGATGCCCAGCAAGCTGCTGCCGGGCAAGACGCTCCAGGAGAAGGCCCAGCAGCTGGGTACGGGGCCCCGGCCCCAGGGAGGAGCCCCCGAGGGGGCGCCCCCCGAGGGCCCTCCCGCCAGTAACAACAACAATGTCTACCTCTGCTTCGTGTAGAGGCCCAGTTCCGCAGAATAGTGGAGGGTCGCGACCCGGTGCCCTGGCTGGTGGAGCGTGGGGTGGTCAGGACAGACTTGCCCTGCAAATTCTGTCAGGACAAGGGGCTCGAGCTCCAGCGCGACCCTGGGGCGCTCAACGGCTACAGCTTGTGCTGCCGCCAGGCCAGGTGGGTCAAAGCCCCCTCTGGGCCCCGCCGCGCGGGCTGAAGTCCCTCCCCTTTGCGACCCTCACTAAACTGCCCGCCCGTCGGGCCTCGGGATTGCGGTCGCGTTCCCCCACCGAGACGAAACATAGTCGTCACGCTGCAGTCGTATTGTTGCTGGGTGAATGGCAACGTCCAGGTGACATTTGCTGTTCGCCCTGCCCTGGGCAATCACCTTGCTTCTTCTGAAGGCTCGGTGGCATGAACCAGCTGTAGGGTTTATTGATATGCCTGTCTAGGCCCTCATGCACAGGCCAGCTTTCTGCAACACTTTCGGTTCATTTGGGAGCATTTGCAGAGTGTGCTGCAATCGCACGTGCCCACGGCACCTTGAATACTTTTGTTTTCACCGTTTCTTTTTTTTTTTCTGCATTTCTTTTTGTTTGGGCTGTCTAAATGATGGAAACTCTACATACAGACTCGTTTCTGCTTTCTTTTGTGGATTGCATAGACTTCTATAAAGAATTCATATCTTATTGAGACGCTGAAAAAGTCAGTTTTCTTACTAAAAAATTAATTTCAATTGGTTTTTTAGTCGGATGTTTTGCTCTACTGCCGTAAGTCACTTGATTCTGCAGTACATCTGAGTTCTTTTTTTATTAAATAGTACTTTTCTACTAACTTAACGAGATATAAGAATTGTTCATGAGTAAACTTGTTTGTCTATTTGTTTCTCTTTTTTTCTTTCTCAGTAGTCCTCTATTGCTTTCATTTGTCCGTTTCAGGCTTGCTGCCACCGCCATTTAAATATTGGTTAGGCCTACCTGGGTTGCCTTTGAGGAATTTTGAGGTTGTTGATTTTGAGGTGTTGTGTCAACCATCCCCAGTACCTTAGTGGACCCTCAAATAGTTTTCAATACATTGCCAGCTCTATGTGCCGCAAGCTGTGCAAATCAAACTGTATCACAGTAGCTTCCATGTACTGAAGTGTACTCAAATGTACTAGCTTAATTTTATGACATAATACCATAAAAAGATGAAATCTGGGAGAGAAGAGTAACTGGTTCATTTTTGGCAATAGAGACAAGGTAATAAAATCAAAGCTTATGGTCTACTGAGGGCTCGTTTCCTGTACAAAGGTTTAAAACTAGTTTTGAGCCTTCTGTTTTACAATGTTAGGTTTTTCTGTGGCTTTATTTTCCATTTAGGGTGTATCATTCGAAGCTGACATTGATCTCTTTGGCATCTTGATCGTTCATTTTGTAATTTTTTGTGAAGACGATAATGGTGGTCGGCTGTTAGTTTCAGAATTTCATTGTACAGAACTAATTACTTGGGTCAAAAATAAAAACTATTAATTAATTTTTTTTTTTGTGGTGCACTGTTATGCTTAGTCTATTTCTTTCAAGCTAAGCATTGTAGGCTGCCTAGAAATTTGTTTTGATGAAACCATGGAGTAACTCAAAAGACTTGCCTATGTGGCTTTCTCAGCACCAATCTTTTGCTAAAACAGGAATCGGCAACCCTGTCTTTTTTTTTAATTATTTGCTGTGACAGGAATGGATATTTGTTCATGGGAAAGTGAGTTGTATCTGTATTTTCAATTCTTAGGGCACAGGTATCACACGCTTTTAAGTTTTAAAAACATCTATCACCTGGCTGCATCTTTTTGGGAACTTTCAACACGCACTGTCACGAGACTGACGTAGATGTGTGGTTCAGGTCGGTACTTTCCCAATTATGAGTGTTGTCAAAAGTGTGTGACTTGTTTGCACATGATGTGACATTCCAGTGGAACTTCACATACTTGTGTGAAACTGTGTAGCCGTTTCTGAAAAGTTTAGCTTGGGTTGGATGGGAATCGCTTGTTCTGAACGGTGCCATGGGCAAGTACGGAGGTCATGCATTGTGAATCTGGTATTCCGTCAGGAGACTGGTTTCGGCGTGTGCATAATTTTGGGTCAGACCCTTACACTCTGTCATAGGTGTTCATAGAATTCAATGCACTATTTGCTTATGGGTCACTCTTATTATTCTGTCAATCCTGGAACATGTTTGCACACTGTGATCCCAAGCTTTAAGAAATATTTAAGTGTGTGCTATGAGGGTGCAATAAATGTAGCCCTTCAGTCAGTCTAGTACTGCTGTCAAACAGCAGTTCAAATAACATTTAGCGAAATGACATTTGAGCAATCGACGTATCAGCTTACAATCTTGGCTCTAAGCGTCTTGCGCGACACACACTGATTTGCCGATTCATGGTATTTGGCTAAATGTCGTTTAGCGTTCGTATGTGATTGAGGTTTTATTTTTAGGCGTGCTTTCTGTTGCTAACTCTTTGTGTAAAGGGCATATTTTTATATATGTAAAGATGCTTTTCTTTATGTGTCTTGACACAGTTAGCTGTTGGTTAATGGTGCTGGCACTTTAGCCCAATGTCTTGTGTCATAACCACCACCACCTGAAGGATGTCGTGCTTCCCAAATGTTAAGTGTGAGCTGTTCTGTGTCACTTTCTGTTCGCAGCTGACCTGCAAAAATGACTCGTCTTTGTGCATATTACATAAAAGCTTTTTATGCTTTTCATTTTTATTTTGGAAGTTTAGCATTGAAGATGTTTTCTGAAACTTGCAAAGCAAGGGCTGCGGTTTCCTCGTTTATTGTGGGAAACTGTCGTTGAAAACGGCAATTAGAAAGGGTTGTTCAAAGCTAGTTTAAATGAAATGGTGGTATCCCCTTTGTTCATTGCCTGTTTTGTTTTAGTGTATTAATACCCTGTTGCATCTTATTTGTCAGGCATATTTAGGATGATGGATAGTTTACTTGTGCATGTTCACATGTATTGCTCTGTTCGTTTGCTTATTCCAAGGGATGAAAATGGATGTTGTGTGGCATGCAGTCAGAATTTGTATTGTTTTCCCGATGGTTTCACCCTGGAATTTCACGACTGTAAGCTAACGCCTAGGCGAGCCCAAAGAAATGCTGCTTCTGGCTTGTGCATCGCTGTGAACTATCCTAAAAAAATAAAAAATAAAAACGAAAAAAAAAAACTCCTTTGGAACCTTCCCACTTGGTTGCTGATGGAATAAAATTTTTGCAGTTTCCACTTCGAGTTTTGTGTTAATTCCTTCCTTTCCGCTTTTGTTGGGCGCCTAGCCAGCAAGGCCTTCCCGGCCTGGTGCCGTGTACCTATCAGCTTCGCAATTGGTCGCTAGCAGCAAAGATCAAAGATTAAACTCTCCTCGTAAGCGTGCCTTCCCAGAACAAGCATGCGTCTCCTTGGCAGAGCTTATGGTCGTGACATTAGTCATTGAATTTATTTTGTTTACTCACCAACATGGCTTAGTGAGACCAAAAGAATTTTGTCTCGTAGCAGCTTAGTGAATAGAAATTTTGGAGCCCCTTTACATCCCATGGCAGCACCTCATTTGCTCTTTTTTTATACAGTGTAATGAAACAAAAGCTAATACTTTGCTCTGAGATCGGGCTGTATAACCTGGAGGCAGATTCTGATGCTTCAAGACAATGCTGACATCACGAGCTTCCCAACAAACAACTCTGTGGTAGAGATGGAAAGCATTTAAAGTTCTGGCCCTCTCTGGAACAGAAACACTGTTACTGGGCTGAGGATGCAATGCCAAAGAAGCATTTGGTGTGTTGGGTGCTCTTACATCTCGGCTCTCATCTTGCACTGCACTCTCCTGCTGGTAGTAACACTGGCATTGAAGTGGCAAGACTTGTAGACACAAGTATCTATGCAGATTGTTCTTTCTCTCTTGTTTTCTCCACTTCTTAGTAGGGTCTCCCTAGGAGCAAGGCAGATTTAAAATTAATTGCAGAAAATGTTCGACTTGACAGAAAGATGTAACATTTCACATCAATGCACGTGGCAAATCTATTGCACCAAGCTTTTAGGAGTCCTCATGTTGCAGGCAAACTTTTAAACGAGAATTTGTTTTGACTAATGTATTGCCAAAAGATACCGATGATGCGTCCATGTCCATACAAGTGCCCACTATCAACTTTTACGGGTTTTGGACGCGGTGCAAAGTGCACATCATGTGCACAGCCCCCACGAAAGCTGTGTTTACTCTGACAAGTGTTTACAAATGGAAACAAAAGCCTGCTACCCCTTTCTTTTAAGGGCTCATGATTAACATCCATTCACTCCATGTTGCTCCTTTTTTTTTTCCTTGCCTCTAAACAAGTTTTTCAACGAGAGAAAAAAACTCCTCACTTCCATTGTACAACCGCTGAGCACTTTGAACCACAGTTGCACAATACTTTAGTTAATGGGCTCTCGAACTGGGCTCCTAGGAACCCAGGGCCAGCTTGCCGGTGAATGTTGGTATCTATCCCGGCGGCAAAACTAGCCGCAAGAGATATTTTGAGGCCATGTGACGGGCTCCATGAGGTGGAAGCTCCTAGTATTCCAGCCGATTCCGCTCGGTGGACGTGAACCTTTCCTATCGTTCTCTTTCATTCCCACTTTAACACGGCCCTCCCCAGAAACAATTTTAACTGCCGCACCTAAAGTACACAAATGCGATTCATTTTATTTCCATTTCAAGCCCATTCACCCCATTTCCGCATGCAAAACCATACTCGAATAATTGAAGCGAGGACAGAATTGTGGCAGCAGTTTGCCTGAAATGCTAAATACCTTTAGTTTCTGATCCCTTCGGAGGCGGTCACGGGACTTTGAAGTCCCTCTTGCAGCTACTTTAACCTCTGGAAGAGATATCTGCACTCGCCAACAAACCGGCCTACCCTGGTGGGCCTTCCAAGCTCCCAAACTTCCTTGACCATCCCTGCTTTTAAGTATAATTTTTTTCCAGTTTAGGCACTATTTCAGTGGATCCGAGCCCCCCATTGATGCGTAACCACGAACAAAAACACACTCTAGTTTGCGCATTATTGTTTAAAGGGCCTGTCCACCCATGCATTGCTTTATTGCACGAATGCCGAGAGCTGGAGGGATTCTTCGGCTTACAGTCGAGCCAGGTGGGGCTGATTTTGTTTTCTTTGAGAATTTATTTAAGGATTCCTGCTGGTTTTGGAGTCTTTTTCCATTGATTTATTTTTCATTTTAAAGGAAGGTTTTGAGATGAGTTATCAGAAAACATGTAAATAAAAAAAAATATAAAGACCTGCCACAGGAATTTGAGACACGGATGGGAAAAAACAATGTTTCGGGCGGGCGCATTTGTTAAGTTATGGGGCACCACACGTGGGGCCTACGATTTTCTGGATAATCGACCTCGGCCTCACGGGGGATTACTATAACACAGTTTCTGTTTTTGCTTATTTTTTAACGAACAAGCTTGCAAAATATCTTCCTTTGTCTCAAAGGTGTTTTTTGGGGGGCACCAGTTTGCTTATTGCTATTTGGATCGCTGAATTTTTAGTATACACATCTCCAGTATTTTACGGCAGGTAGAGCAGTGGGAAATATGAAATGTGCTAGCATAAACCGAAATTTCTTTGAGACAATGAGTTTGAGAAAAACATTGGCTCTTCAACTTTAAAATAACAAATCCTCTGCTCGAATTAAGTAACCTCATACGAACATAGGCACGTTTATCTGGGTGCACCAATTTATGCAAATGATAGGCAGCTTGCAACCCCCTTAATGCACACTCTGTAGTAATGCGCCTTCCATCTTGTTTGGTGCTACGATTTGAAACACGAAAATATACCAGATTGTAGAGGCTCACTGAATCGAGTTTCACAAGTGGTTAATTGAATGTGTCCAAATTGTTAGAAAACTAGACTAAACCAGGAGTGTACAATCTGCGAGTCTCGGTCGAATGCTGGCGCAACAAAATTGGCCCTCCGGCCTCGTCTACAAGGTGTTGCCCCGTCCTTCTTGCATAGGGCAGGAGAGAGGGCTGCACGTGAAGCAGGAAGCTCGGCCGATACATTTGATGCAAGTTTGAAAGTGTCGCCAACTGCTCGATTTCGGTCACGTGGTTTGTGGGCCGCATATCGCAACACAGGCTGCGAGGAGGAGGAGGAGGCGAAAGCGTCGCACGTTGCCCATCCTTTCTGCTTGCTACCCTTCTCGCCATTCGAAAACTTGAGCACGTACGGTGAACCTGCACAGCAAATGTCCGCCATTAAATGCAAACGCTCTCCAAGGTTTGAGTTGCTCTCCTCTCAAATTTATTCTTTCTGAGGAACACAACGCAAGAAAGCAATGATATTGTTCAGATATTTAAATTTTTTATAATTTAGTTCACATGATTGGCCATTTGGGGAGGCTGGAGGAGCCATTTTACAGTGACCTTGAGGTTACTTGGCACTGTTGCGATGGTAGCATTCTTTCATAAGGTATAAATAGATTCTCTTCCAAGTCCATCTTGTTTTAACAGTCTTGCTTCGTTCACTAGGTATGTTAGACGTCCACAAGATGCATTCTGTACTAGACGGTCGACGATACTCCGAACTGGATGTTCACTTTGTTTAATTAGCGCAGAAACAGAATGCTGGGGCCCCTTCAGTATTTGCTGTGCTAAAAGGGAGTGTGAGGAGGCAGTCAGTCTGTTGCACTGGTGTGTCTGGTAGTGCCAAGTGTGAGTACTGTAGTGTGAAAGAGAGATTGCTTTAAAGCATTCCAGCGCAGCAAACCAATTGCATCATTGCACTTTTTCTTGCTACCATGGCCAACAAATGTAAAAGAGACAATGTTCAATTCTTCTGCTACATTCGGTACAGAAGCAGGACATATGATCTAACTACTTGTCACGTGCCTAGCTGTTTCAAAACATCTAGGTTCGGCTCTCACCCTCCTTGCACAAGGTCCAAATGTTGTTGCTGCAGATTTAATCATTTCTGGTCATGAAGTATAACTCAAGTGTTTACATTTCGGCTCCGAGTGAGTGCGTGCACACAACCTTAAGAAAGCATCTTGGACACACGCATGCACTCATATCCCCAGTGCAGCATCCTACAAGGCACGAGTGTTACAATTGGCATTGTACTGAATGTGTACATGTTGATTCCTCCAAAGCTTTCAGGGACTGTGCACTCATGCTCATAGTCGTGGCACTTTGCACGAGTCTGAAAACATTTTTGGGCTTAGTCTGGATTCCTCTTGGAAAGCGGTACAGTACTATGTTCGCTTTCAAGCTGACAGTGCGGGCCAGTCATACCTCTATATTTTGTTACTTGATCACGCTCCTGCGTATACCCACAAGCAGGGTTCTCCCCAGGAATTTCTGAGGGGTGGACATTACTGGGTAACCGGTAGAGGGGGGGAGGGGGAGGAGGGGAGGGGGGGGAGGGGGAGGGAGAAGAAGAGGAGGGGAGGGGGGAGGGAGGGAGGAGGAAGAAAAGGGGGGGGGGGGGGGGGCACGTTTGTCCTTTTTTTGTTTGTTTTTGGTTTGTTGCGTCTGTTTATTGCCCCCGGCACTGCCGGTGGCGCGCAGCTGAGCTAAAGAAATAAAAAAAGAAACATGCCAAGCACCCGCGCTCTTTGATTGAGGCAGTGTGGGAGTAGCGGCAGTCAGAGATGCAATAGTGAACGATAACGTGGCGGTGCGCGGACCTGCTGCGTACGACGGCAACGGTCTGCAGCCGCGCAGGCAAACTCGCATCGCATCGTCATCCCGCGACATAAAACAAAAAAAAAGAATTAAGCGGTGGGTGGCCAGTTGGAGTGGTGGGCGGCCAGTTAGAGTGGTGGGCGGCCAGTCGGAGCGGTGGGCGGCAAAGCCACTGCCGCCCACCGTGGGGAGAACCCTGCCCAGAAGTGGAGAGTGGGATCAGGTAGTGGAGAGGATTGGTCCGGCAAGTGCATAGTTTTCACCTTACCGTCAGTTTACGGCTGAACGGAGTATGCACCATCTCAATTTTGGGACGTCTATGGCGGCGCTGCAGTCGGCACTTGCACGCACAGATGCTTCATCTCGTGCAAATCTGGTTTCTCCGACCATGCAGTGCCCACACTCAGTGTAAGCAAACGCAGGCTTGTTTGGAGTACAGGGGAGTGTTTCAGGAAAACCTTCTCCGTTAGAAACTTTACGAAACTTGAGTGAAATGCTCGAACGGCATGAATGCCTCCTCGTCACGGCCCCTGTAATCCGGGTGCCTCGTCTCGTCTCGTCC